GGGGCAGGCTGCCCCCCACCCCCACTGCCTAGCCCAGCTGTTCTCCCAGTCTTGTGTCCTGGCCTCACAGCCCCTTTCTCTCTCTCTCTCTCTCTCTCTCTCTCTCTCTCTCTCTCTCTCACACACACACACACACACAAAGCAGGAGCACACAAAGCAGTCACTGCTTGCCTCTCCCCACCTTGCCCACGCCACCTCCCACTAGCAAGCAGGCTGCTTGAGGCCAACTGACTGGGTGACAGGTGGATTGGATTGTCACCCCCTCCCCCAGTGCCTGCTGCTTATTTCATGCCCTGCAGCCCCGCCACAGGGAGGGGGTGGAGGAGGGTGACAGCTGTCTTCAGCTGTAGCCTGCCTTCCCCAGTCCCAGTCTGCAGCCCCAGGCGGCCCTCTAGGGTGGAGGGAGTGCCTAATGAAAGCTGTCCCCTCCCAGGCTCCCTTCAGGAAGAGCCCAGGGCCAGGCCTGATTGTCCCTTGTCCTCTACATTTGAGCCTGCTAGTGCAGACCTCCCAAGGCAGATGCATGAAGCTCCTAAGAGCCTCAGGGCACCTGGGACCGAGCCCCCACCCCCACCGCAGAAGGTAGTGAGTGAGGAGGCAGAAAATGGAGATGCAGTGTTAAGGAACAGATGAGGGAAGATGGAGGCTGCCGGGGAAAGGGTGTCCCTGCCTGGCCCTTCAGCAGTGGCTCCAGGGACTTGCCCTGACCCCACTCCTTCCCCCACTCAGGCACCTCACACAGGAACTGAGGTGCCTCATTCTGAAACCCCAGAATGGTTTGGCTTTTGCTCAGGTGCTAAGAGGTGTGACATTGGTGTGGCAGGGCCTACCCTCTCATGACCCTCCAAGCCAGCACCCCTTTGCTCTTCATTTGTCTCTCATTTGCTTGTAAACACAGCTCACAGTTGTCATGGGGTCTTGGACCCCAAGGCTCTCCAGCCCCCTCAGAGGTCCTTGACCCATACCCTCCTGCTGCTGGCTTCCCTACAGACCCCTGTCAGCCAGTGCCCCCTTCCCTCTGCTGCTGTTGCCTCAGCCTGGCCACTGAGGGGTCACTGTGTGACACAGCTATGGCCTGACGTCATGATGGGCAGGCTTTAGGGCTTTGTACCCCAGCATGGCAGCCCAGAGCTGCAGACCAGACTTAAAAGAGCAGCAGCCCAAGGCCAGGGCACAAGAGGAGGGGCTGGCTGGGCCAGGCAGGAGCAGAGCCTGCATCTGGAAAGCAGACGCCCCAGCCTCTGACTCCTGGCAGTTGGTCAGGTCATTATGCAGAGGACTAATTAAAGAGGTCCAGGTGTTCCTTAAAACCTCCCAATGGGGTAGGGAAGCTTGGTTAGCTTCCTTGGTTAGCCCCACACCTTGGATAGAGTCAGTCTAGGGTCCTTTGTGACCATCTCACCCCAGATACCTTTCCAGAGCCAGGATGGAGTTCATATTCTTGCCCTAGGGCTTTAAAGAACCTGCAGCAGTAGGGAAAGGATAGCAGAAGGGCAAAGAGGCTAATGCAGAGCCTGCATTGTAAGAGAGCTTGTGGTTAGATAGTAGGAAGGACTGTCCAAGGCAGGTCTGTCCTTCTCTGGCAGGGCAGTGCTGACAGAAGAAAAGCACAGTGGGCAAGACCCTGGGAGGCATGGGGTTCTGCAGGCTGAGCTAGCATGGAAAGGACTGGGGGAAGCTGGGGCCTGGTCTCTTAAACATCGATAGATTCCCTCCATCAAAGGATACTCACTGGGTCTCTGTGGCTTCCCTGCCTTCTCAACCCCAATCCCTCTTGCATCCCATCTCCCCCAGCATGCTGTAGGGATGGGGGGGGGGCAGTGTAGGAGATCAGCCAGGGAGCTGGTTGCCAGGCGACAGTTACCTAAGCAACCCCATCCTCTCCATCTCCATGTGCTCAGGGCTGCTCCTTAGAAGACTTGAGAGTCTCACCCTCTGCACCAGCCAAGCCAATAGTGGGAAGGGTTGACAACAGGAGTGGCAGGATTGGTTGGAGGCGGTGGGTGGTGTCCAAACTGATAGGCTTTGAGGGAAGCTGGTAAAGGAAGAGTTTTGCTCAATTGAGAACAGCAGGACTGACAGAAATTAGATTGCAAGAAGGACTTCTCACAGGTCATGATATTTTCTTATTTATTTATTTAAAATATTTTATTTATTATTTTTTATTTTATGTGTATTGAGTGTTTTGCCTGCATGTAAGTGCACCTGTGTCATGCAGTGCCCGCAGAGGACAGAAGAGGCTGTCGGATCCCCTGGAACTGGAGTTACGGACAGTTGTTAGCTGCCATGTGGGTGCTGGGATTTGAACCCAAGTCTTCTGCAAGAACAACCAGTGTTCTTAACCGCTGAGCCATCTCTCCAGCCCCCATAATATTTTCTTTGCATAGATACTTCCTGAGCCCCTTCCTACAGGCAACAGCATAGTAAAAAGATAGATCTAGTTCCTGCCTCATGAAGCTCTAATCTCAGGAGAGTAGACATGGAATAGAAGTACAGAGGTATAATTATTTATACAGGTGGTAATCCTAGAAAGATTGTAAGACTAGCTTTTTGGAGGATCGTGAGAATATTGAGAGGGTTCAGTTCATTCTGTCTGAGGAGATAGTACTGGCCATAAATGGGAAGAGGTTCTGTGAGCAAGAGTCTGCTTGTAGTGGTGGCTTGTGCCTTTAATCCCTGCCCTTGGGAGACAGAGGGAGGCTGATAGCTGAGTTCAAGGCCAGCCTGGTTGACATAGTAAGTTCCAGGCCAGACCCTGTCACACACACACACAAAAAACAAAAAACTGGGAGCGAGCAGGAAAGCGTCCGCATGGCCAGTGGGTTCAGGAGGTCCTACACCCTGGGCCTACATTGGAGGTCCTGAGGCTGAGCCAGAGAATCCCACCTAAAAAGCCAGTGCACCTTAGTTTTCACTCCGATGTGCCCTTCCACCTCCCCTGCCCAACAGGGAAGCAGTCTGTGGATTGCCCTGAGAGGTAGGCCTGGAGCCTCTACAGTGTAGTTCAGGTTGCAGGGGAAGAGGGTGGTTGGCACCTCTTCTGCCAGATGTATGTTAGGCCACATAGGGCTTTCTGGACTGCTGCTACTGATCTGGGATGTGGGTAGGGGAAGCCAGAGACCACAGAGATCCTCAAGGACAGGGGTAGGGAAAGAAGGTGCTGAGTTCTCATTCTGGGGGAAGGAAGAGAGCTAGGGTGTTCCGTGAAGATATTTATATTTGGGCAGAGTAGAAACTGGGCGGTAAAGCCTGAACAGTCCTGTGATCTGTGACAGTGTTCAGACTCCTTCTCCATGGTCAGGTGCCTGGTGAACTGCTTCACCTACTGTGCAAACTTCAGGCTGTGTGGAGTGGCCTAGAAAGACACAGGTTCATTCATCAGCCATTGGCAGGCAGCCCTTCATGTATGTTGCCCAGCCTCTGGCTCTGCTCTTGAGAGGACTGCAGAGAAGCTCAGCTTCTTGCATAGCTTCAGAAAACATGCCCTCACCATCCCCCAGAACGCACTCCACTGTGATGCAAGGACTACTAGGATAGCAGCTGACTGGAGGGGCCTGGAGGTCATCTCCATCCTCTTCCCCAGGGGCCTTAGACTGTGGCCCTGCAGAGCACACACCTTTCCTGTCCCAGGCTGAGCTGCTACCCTGTGCCCCGTCCATCCTATGCTGTACCATGTAGAGGTGCAGGGCAGGCTCTCATTCCCACACTGACTCAGGGTTGGAATTGTTCCTTTCACGGGCCATGAGGATCATAGGAGTGCCAAGAATGGTCAGTCTACTCCAGGGTCTTTCCAGTGTGTGCCATGCTGCTGTTTCCTTGGTAGGAACCACTGCTAAGGCTGAGCTTGGGTTCTAGACCTGGCCTCTATCTCAGGCAGGACTGGACATACCACCCATGTATCCTCTTTGCACATCTGCCACCCCACTTACTTATAATTATCTGCTACTCTGCCACAAGAGTTGAACAGTGCAGCAGACCTTACAACCTGCATTGTTGACTCTCTGTTCCTTTACAGAAACAGTGACCAGGATTAGGGCAAGCTGCATGATAAAGCACTTGCCTACCTAGGTAAGCAAGTGGTTTGTCATGGAGTGAGTGTGAAGCCCTAGATCCATTCCTCCCACCAGAGACAGCAGAGGAAAAAAAGCCAGACCTGGTGATGCCAGCCTGTCATCATAGCTACTCAGGAGGTTGAGACAGGAGAGTCACACGTTTTAAGACCTACCTGGGCTACAGAGTGAGTTCAAGGCCAGCATGGGCAACTTAGTAAGACACTGTCTAAAAAAATTAAAAATAGGGGCTGAGGATGCACCTCACTTGTAAAGCACTTGCAGAACTCCTGGATTTAATCCCCAGGAGGTGGGTAGGGGAAGACACTATATATTGTGCTATCCTCTGACCTAGAATAACATGTCCCTTTACCTAAGCAGCAGAACACCCTTTCTTCAAACAAAAACTACTCAGGCGGAGTAAATAGAGAGTTGCACAGGAGCTCTGGTTGGGGGTGGATGTTCTTTAGCTCCAGGCTCCACAGTTCCCAGGGGTCCATAAGGCTGAGTGAAGACCCTGCTGCTGGCCTGAGCTGGGATGCCTGCTTCTTGCAGCATGGATAGGCGTTGACTCAACACTACCTGCTCCAGAATAGGAGCCTAGTGGTCTAGGCTGGCTAAGCAGGACAGCTGTATAGTACAGATAGGTTCCTCAGAGAGGGGTCATTCTCTAAGAAGTAGACTAGGAACCCCATGTCTTCTTGCTAACCTAAAGCCCAAGGACAGTCATGACAGGGAACCAGCCTAGACTAAGGCCTGGTCCCAGTGGGAGCCCATCTTACAGCTGGTGTGAGGGCCATTGCCTTGGTAGCCAGCATTACCACAATTTGAGGATGGGGCACAGATGGCACCAGCCTTTCACAGAGTGTGGTAAGCCTGGCCTATATCCCCAAGGAGCAAGCCTGGGGGGTTGTAGGGACTGACAGTCCTCTCATGGTTCTCCCATTCCAGGAGGCTATCACAGGTGTTATACAGACCATGAACTGACCACTGGTCCCAGACCTTGATGAGCACAGTGTGAGGCACCTGACAGGAACCTAGCAACCCTTCCTCTCTGGCACTAAGGACTCCCAGAGAAGATGGGGAGGAAAAAGATTCAGATCCAGCGAATCACTGACGAGCGGAACCGCCAGGTGAGGGGGGTCCCAGAGCCTCACAGAGTAAGTGGGTGAGGGCAGGGAGCCAGTTTCTGCCTTTCCTTCCTAGCTCTGGAAGCCTTCCTAGTTCCTGGAAGCCCAGGGAATCACTAGTGGGTCTGAGAAGGGAGAAGAGTAGCCCCATCTTTGTGTTCCAGGCTTTCTAGCTCTGCTGGCCCAACATCACAGCCACAGCTCCTTCATCCCAGCAAAAATCCTCCCTCTTCTCACCTGGGAGATTCACTGTTCTTTAGTCCCCTGCACACAGCTCTCTTGACCATCTAAATCTTTTCCCTCCCAAGGCTGCACTGGTGTGTCTTGGCTGTGGTCTGGCCAAGGGGTTCTAGCTTGTTCCTTTCCAGACCAGGGACTCTGACAGCAGCAGCTGAGTCACTCTAAGCATGAGACCCTCTAGGGTAGGGCCTGTGTCCAGTTGACTCTAGGCAGGTTTTCCTGCCAGATCTTAACTGAGTCTGACCTGGCCACCCACACCCTCCTACAGGTGACATTCACTAAGCGTAAGTTTGGGCTGATGAAGAAGGCTTATGAGCTGAGTGTGCTGTGCGACTGTGAGATCGCGCTCATCATCTTCAACCACTCCAACAAACTGTTCCAGTATGCCAGCACCGACATGGACAAGGTGCTGCTCAAGTACACTGAGTACAATGAACCACACGAAAGCCGTACCAATGCCGACATCATTGAGGTTTGTGCCTGCCTCCCTCTGCCCATCTGTAAACCCACTTCCTCATCCAAACCCAGGCCCCCCCCCAAGGAAGGTGGTAATGGGGGCACGAGATGTATAGCCAACACCAGGCCCCACCCTCCCTTCCTGGGTCCACTTTGCTGCCTGCCAGGCCTGAGGGGTACCCCTGATGCCCTCCCCTGCACTTTGCTTCCTTCTTCCAGCCTTTCAGCTGCTACTTTTTGCTTTGTTTCCATCTCTCCTCTTAGTCCTGCCCCTCTGTGGGTCACTGTGGCTCAACATTATGAACTGCTGAAGGACATGAGCTTTGGAATTCAGCTCTGGCCTTTACAGGCCATGTGTCCTTGGGCAGGTGGTTTGGCCTTCCTGGGCTGTGGTGTCCTTCACAAAACAGAGTGGTGTCTACTTAGAAGGGTGTTCTTTGAGCACAGTGAAACAGCCCATGTGTGCTTCTCACTCCAGGGTACCAGTTTAGGGTACAGTTTTTGTTGTATTGAAGATGGCATCTGGAGAGCTATAGGCCTAGCCAAAGATTTGGAAGAAATAACCTAAACTAGAATGTAAACATACTTTTTTTGTTCTTTTTGAGAGGCAGGGTCTCCCTGTAGCCCCAGCTGTCCTGGAACTCACTATGTAGACCAGGCTGGCCTTGAACTCACAGAGTTCCACCTGCCTCTGTTTCCCAAGTGCTGGAATTAAAGGCGTACATCCCCACGCCTGGCCTAAACATATATTTTTAAAAAGAAAATAAGGGCTTCCAAAATGGCACAGTGGGTAAAGGTGCTTGCTGCCAAGTCTGATGATTTAAGTTCATTCCCAGAGACCAACAGAGTAGAAGGAAGAGAACTGAGTGAGCCCCTTAAGTTGTCCTCTTTGACATCCACTCACGCATGGTGGCATATGCATGCCCATACATATACATATACACACAATTATTATTTTTTTAATAAAGCAAGTGATCTATAAAGGTATGTGAGGCTCTGGCCTCTGGGCAAGGAGTCTGGGGTGACTGCTACTTTTCTCTTTGCTTTCCAAAATCTAATTCTCTCCTTCTGTCTCCATTCCAATTTCTTTCCTTTTTCACCTCTTAAGCACAACCAAGGGTTGGGATGGGCAGGCACACCCTCCCCCAATCCTCTGAGGAGCAGGCTGGTACTGGCCCTTCCTCAGATGCAGCTGTGGCACATATACCTCCACACCATGCATTTCCTGGTTTAGGTCCCCTTTCACTCAGGGCCCCAGGGGACATTGTGGGGAGGGAGGATGGCTCTGAGGGAGGGAGTAGAGCCACTAGGAACCATGAGGAAGAAGATTGGAGAATAGAGGATCCTAGGGAGGTCTGGGAGGAACTTGAAGGAAATGGGGAAGTGCTGGCTGACTTAGTGGTCCGTTACAGACCCTGAGGAAGAAGGGCTTCAATGGCTGCGACAGCCCAGAGCCCGATGGGGAGGATTCACTGGAGCAGAGCCCCCTGCTGGAGGACAAGTACCGACGCGCCAGTGAGGAGCTGGACGGGCTCTTCAGGCGCTATGGGGTGAGCCCTACTCACCTTTTCTCTGGCTCCCTTCCGGCCCCTTCCCCCCAGGCGCTGCACAAGAAGCACAGGGAGTGTGAGAGCCCTGAGGTGGACGAGGTGTTTGCCCTGACCCCCCAGACGGAGGAGAAGTATAAAAAGATAGACGAGGAGTTTGATAAAATGATGCAAAGTTATAGACTGGCTGTGAGTAGTCGCATGGAGGAGAGCCTCCCGTGCTGCATGGTGTGGCTTCGCCCCTGGCCTGGCCTGACCCTCGGCTGCCTTTAATGGGGATCCCATGCTGAGCCATCCTGGGGCTGGTGGTAAGCACTGAAGAACCTCTGACCTTGGTCATGATAACCTTCTTCTGATAAGGTTCTTGAAAAAGCTAGAGATACCTGCAGTGTTCCTTCACCAGCAAAAAGTATGCAGATGCCATAAAGTCTTAAGAGGCCAGGGAAATAGAGTGTGTTCTTTGCCTAGTCATTTTGGGGAGAGGCACCCCTTGGGCTGCTCTAGCACCCTGCCTAAGGCACTTAGCTTTATTTTAAGGGAAGCAGAGCTGCTGAAGGGAAGGCAGAGAGATGGGCTTGAGCTTCTGCAGCAGGCCAGATGATAGGTGATCACTAGTGAAGCCACATTCTCACCAGTGGCACAGTTAGGTGAGTTTGGGTCTATACCCAGGGCACTAACCCGCTCCCAGTGTGTCCTGCCTGGCCGAGGACTAACCCACCTCCATTGGGGGTACCCAGTCCTGTCTGCAGTGGGTAGAGCCTTGCTCTCCTGCTCTGGGGCCAGACCTGCATCCCAGGGTGCTCTCAGCTCCCTGGTTGGGGGAAAGCAGGGCAGCAAAAGGGCTGAAGGCAGAGAGCCCAAGCTGCTGGCCCTTGGAGGCACAGCCCAGAAACCAAAGAACATTTGCCTACACTCCCAAAGTGGGTCTGGGGGAAGATGTTCACCTAGTGTGACTCAACCCCTCCATCTTTCTGTCTAGTCATCTGTCCCGGCCCCCAACTTTGCCATGCCTGTCACAGTGCCCGTGTCCAATCAGAACTCCATGCAGTTCAGCAATCCTAGTGGCTCTCTGGTCACCCCTTCCCTGGTGACATCATCGCTCACGGACCCACGGCTCCTATCCCCCCAGCAGCCAGCACTACAAAGAAACAGCGTTTCTCCAGGCCTGCCCCAGCGGCCCGCTAGTGCAGGTAAATGGGCTGGAGGGTGGGCCATTGAGATGGAGGTGAGGTGTGGAGGGCCTGAGTTTCTGTCTTCAGTGGTAGGTCTTCCTTTCACCCACCACAGCATTCCTGCATTTGTGTAACTCCTGAGGGGGAAATGCCTAGGACTCTTCTCAGGGTCCCCTCTTGTCCAGTCGCCAAGACAAAGCTCATGGTGGCTCTGCTTTTCTCCCAGGAGCCATGCTGGGTGGAGACCTCAACAACGCTAATGGAGCCTGTCCCAGCCCTGTCGGTAAGTGTAGCTACCTTCCGCATGGTAGCTCAGGTCCAGGGACCTAAAGGAGAGGACAGGAAAATGGCAGGGCCTGAATAAGATGTATCAAAGGATTTTTAGATCCCTGGATTTTGGTGTCTATAGTGTTGATGGATATGTGTGATCAGCAGATGTATGGGTGTGAAGATTGTCAGGCAAACTGAGAAGGGACTCAACATTATTGAAACAGAAGGGTCAGCATTTTCAATGTGAGTAGGGCATCTTGTTTTCTGGCCTTTCCTAGATAAATGGTAGGCATATATGCCTATTCACGCACACAGACCTCCACACTCCCATGGAGTCACCAGACAGATACGCACCTGTAGGCATACATACCCAAGTCACAAGGAAAGTGCCTTGCCCTGCACCCAGCTACTTCCAGCCCTTCCTGCTCTGTGTTGGTATCTCACTGGTGGCTGCCTTCTAATGTCAACATTGACGTCACCCCTACATTCTTGCCATTCCCAGAGTGATCTTGGAATTGGGATGGAGACAGCAGCACACTTTGACGGCAACTGTGTGCTTTTAGGGGACAGAGCAAGGTGGCATTTCTCACTGCAGTTACCCACATTCCTGGACCTCAGACTCCCCCATCTCAGTCTCAGCCAATGTGCCACACCGTTCTCACCCTGGTCATTATGGGTCCTGTGTGAGGCAGATGAATATGAAGGTGGCTTGGCAGTAGTTATGTACTAGCATCAGGAAATTGGGGGTGGGGTATATCCCCCCTTTGAAGACCTTGCATATAGGCCGTGAAGCCCAGCGTTGGGAAGTCAGTGAAATGCACTAGGTGGCTGTGGAGAGATCATCACGTCTCTCCCACCTAGGCTGTTTTTTCTCGTTTGTTCCCAGGGCTGGTGGTACCTGTCCCAAGTATCTCACAGGGACATGTGAACATTAAATGAGATGATATGTGTGTGGAAATCCTGTGATATTATAGAGTATGGAGCAGATGTAAAAGATAGTTGTACCTGTATCCCCAGTCTAATTATGGTGGTGACTGTGTCATCTGTCCACTGGTACCAGCAACACCATTACTACCAGTGGACAGCCTGTTTCCCCAAGACTGCAGGCAGCTTGTCATGTGCTGATCCAAGACACAGAGTCCCCAGCTTATAGTAAGGAAGCAGTCTAAGTGGGTGATGATTGGCTCTAGTGAGCAGGCTCCTTACTGAGGCCCACATCGCAGCCTGTCACTCTGGTCGTTGTGGGTCCTTCAAGACAGATAGAAAGGTCTGAGAGTGCCAGGCAGGGCACGGGGGAAGGCATGCCTGCTGGGCCTAGAAGAACCCAGTGCTGCCAATGGCAGTGGTTGCTTTCCAGTTCTGCCTCTGGCCCCAGGCTCCCACTGGTCTCATCACTGTAGCTTAGAGGCTGGCAATGAGCTCAGTAATTAGGGACCAAGACTTTAGGCAGTATCAGGCAGTTTAGCACCTATGTGGAGCCCTGGCATGGCTCTAAGAGGCTCTAGGCAACTGGTGTGCTTGTCTGGGGCAGTTGGTAGGGCCGTGGTGGGCAAGCTAGCATTTTTCCTTCCACTCATCTCCTCATTTCTCTAGGGAATGGCTACGTCAGCGCCCGGGCTTCCCCTGGCCTCCTCCCTGTGGCCAATGGCAACAGCCTAAGCAAGGTCATCCCTGCCAAGTCTCCACCCCCACCCACTCACAGCACCCAGCTGGGAGCCCCCAGCCGCAAGCCTGATCTGCGGGTCATTACTTCCCAGGGCAGCAAAGGGTTAATGCATCACTTGGTGAGTGGGTTTCTGGACCATGGCAGGGGCTGGGAATGGGAGGTAGGAAGCAGGGGAAGAGCCACCTCTAGCAAGAGAAAGGGTTAGTAGCAGGAAGAACTTCCTGAGAGAGATCATGCAAACATAGCTTTTCATGAGCTCTTTCTTCTCCAGGGCCTTTTGTGAGGTTGGAACACAGTAGCATCAACCTGATCCCAATAGATGAGGGGATGGGGAAGGGGTGATAAAAGAGATTCCCAGTGTAGCATCAAGGACCACATCGGCCAGAACACAGCATCTTCTGGATATCAAGCCAGAAAAACTGTCCTTTTGGGCAGAAAGAACACTTAGCTCTTCAGCAGACATGTGAATGGGTGGCTGTGGGGGCTGGGGGTGGTCAGAGGCCACAGTCTGAACTTTCCCCTCAATTTAATTTCTGCTCCCAGACTGAGGACCATTTAGACCTGGTAAGTAAGGCTAAGACGTTTATAGTACCTTTGAGTTTCAAGTTTGCACCATGTTACACAGTCTGCAGCATGAGTGTGTATACCTGCCCTCTTCCTGTGTATTTACTGTGTGGACTTTAGTTACTGGTTATTTGCCAGGAGCTGTGCTCAGTGGTGAACAGGATACTAAGGTGAATGGGGCAAGGAAAAGAGCTAATGCATCCACATGTATCCCTGTGTGCATGGAAGTTTGTGTAACATCCCATTCAGACACGTGTTTGTATGTATCTAGAAAAGAGCATGAGGACATTCCCAGGCCTCTGAGACCCTGGCCAGATGCCTAAATTGAACCCTTGAATCCCACTGACCTGATTCTACCTAGGCCCACGTAGCATTGGAAGCCAAGATCCTTAGGAAAACTCTCCGGAAAATCAGTTTTCCAGGGGGAAGCTAAAGCCAAGGCAGGACTTGAGTTGTCCTTAACAAGGGCTTCCCTCCCTGCCTCTGTGGTACAAACCCCTACCCTGAGCCCATCTCAGGGGCACCCAGAGACATGTACGTGCTCAGCCCCTCCTCACGCTTACATAGTCACCTTCAGCTGGGAAAGGAGAGTGTGCCTCCCTCCCCAACTTGCTGACAGGAGGCCAGAGAGGCTGGAAAAGGCAAACAGGCTTTGGCGGCCAATACATCGGCAGTTTCGGCCCCAGCATGGAGTTGGAATAAACAAGTGACTCAGCAGCAGATGGAGCAGACAGCCTCACACACGTGTGTGCACACACGCAGTCACATGCCACCCCGGGCCCTGCATTCCATTCCCAGATGCCAGCACATGTCTCCTAGGGTGTCTGCTACTGTGATGGGTGAAGGGGAAGACTCCAGAGGGCCTAGCCCAAGGGCGAACATGTCTCTGTCCTTTCCCTCCCTCTGCCCAGGAACTAGGGCCAGTATTCATATTGGGCTACAGGCTGCCCACATGCCTTCCTCTCTGCATGGGTGTAGATGCAAATGGATCTATGTGTGCATGTCTCTCTCTTGAGTTTTCATGCCTCCAAATACACTAGCTTGTGTTTGTATCTGCGGGTCTCCATGCTATGGCACTTTCCCTTGGCCTTGGAATTAAGGGATCTAGCTCAGACATGGTATAAATGGCCACCCTGAGGCAGCTCACCCTTCTGCCACCTCTTGACAGACAGTTTTCTCCTACAGAACAACGCCCAGCGCCTTGGGGTCTCCCAGTCTACCCACTCTCTCACCACCCCAGTGGTTTCCGTGGCAACACCGAGTTTACTCAGCCAGGGCCTCCCCTTCTCCTCCATGCCCACTGCCTACAACACAGGTAAGTGTTCATGTGATTGGTGCATTGTATCCTTGGACTTGGGGCATGTGAGTGACCAGAGAAGGTGAACTAGAAAGCTGGGCAAGGCCCCATTCTGGGGAAGGCCTCATAGTATAGTTGGTGGATCAAGCAAATAAGAGCAGAGTGGCAAGGCTGGGGATATAGCTCGGTTGGTAAAGTACTTGCCTAGCATATGTGAAGCTCTGAGTTCAGTCTCAAACACTGCATAAACCAAGCAAAGTAATATAATCTGAACACTCAGGAGGTAGAGGGCAATGGATCAGGAGTTCAAGGTTATACTCAGCTGTATAGGGAGTTCAATTTTGGGCTACATGTCTCAAAAAACAACATTGACCTCTGGCCTCCACACACATGCATCTACACTACACAACATACAATATACCATACATGCTAAAAGCAAAAACAAACAACCCCCCTCGCACACACAAATTTTTAAAGGGGGAGGAACTAGAGAGATGGCTCAGACGTTAAGAACACTTGCTGTTGCAGAGGGGCTGGGTTCCCAGCATCCACATGGCAGCTAACAACCATCCATAACTCCAGTTACAGGGGATCTGACACCCGTGTCTGGCCTCTGGGCATTGCATCCATGTGATACACTTACATATATGTAGGCAAAATACACATACACAAAAAAATAAAAATAAATAAATTTTAACCCCCAAAATGGGCTGGAGAGATTAAGAGTACTTGCTGCTCTCTTCCAGCAGACCCGAGTTTGATTCCCAGCACTCACTTCTGGTGACTAACAGCCACCTGTAATACCAGCTTCAGGGTGAGGAGGGGTCCCTTTCCAGTATGATGACAGATCCTTCTCTAGTGTAAGGATAGGTCTCTTTCCAGTGTGAAGACAGAGTCCTCCAGTGTGAGGGGGCCAGGACAGGTCACCGCCTCAGCAAAAGATTAGGCTCATCTGTCTCTAGCTGGTTTGGGGACTGGGGAGGGGAACATAGTCAGTATAACAAGTCTTCCTGGAGAAGGATGAGCAAAAGATAAGGCTGGAGGGAGGTAGGCAGAATGGAGGCATGGCCAGCATAGATTTTCTAGTTTCCTGGACAAGGGTGGCTTGGTGCAGCAATGAGTGGGAGGCAGGTAGAAGGCTGGCAAAGGTTAGGTCACAGGTCTAAAGGTGAATAGTCACCTGGGGCCATGGGAAAGGCCTCTGGATACAACTCTGGTAGTACAGTGCTGGGGCTATCCTGAGTCCCCAGGGCTGTCCTGGCTGTGTCAACCATCCACACCTTCCCCAGAACAGCATGTGATGCTCTTAGCCATCCTTGCCTGCACTTCAGGCTGCCAAGTCAGGAAGGACTTACCAAAAGGGAAATGCCTTGTCACCTAGTTTCAGAACCTTTGTATGGCAGCACGCTCTTTCCTACTGAGAAGGATTTTTTTTTATGTTCTCCTCCCATCCTCATATATGAGTGATTTATGTTAGGACTGCTCCTGTGGTGAGAGTAGACTAGACCAGAAGACCCCAGATACCCCTCAAACCCCAACCCTACCCTCCTTTCCAGGAGCGGAAGAAAGCCCAAGGGGCAGGCCACAACCTTTGCTTCATGCCTCCAGAGGGGCAGGCTCTGGCATGAGCCTGGGCAGATTTTCCTGCCCAGATGTCTGCGATTCCCTTCCCTCTAGTGTGCACCACATGCATACCCACTAGGTTACTGTGTCTTGAAGCTGGGGAAGGATTGCTTTAGAAGCAGCCCCCTCAGGCCTGCCTCCTACAAGGAGCATTGGTGAACAAGAAGTCTCTGAAGCTCTTCCAGCACTGCTGCCCAGGCTGAGAAGAAAAGCCATCTCCCTAGGCATAGTGGGACAGTGGACCGAGCACAATTCAGACCTCCTCTCTGGAGCTTTGTTCGTTGGGAGCCCCACTGTGGTAGCTGTCTGTGTTCTTTCTACTTGGTCTTGTAAAGCAGGAGGGAAGTTAGTTGATGTTGGGGAACCTAGGACAGACACTCAGCAGGGATGGCTATGGACTCCTATTTGTCCCTAGGGTGTGAAAGCAGCTTTGGCCCCTCAGAAAACAGTGTTCCATTTCCTGTTGCTGCAGGAGTAGCTAAGCAGCAGGCATTTGTGGGTAATCTTTAGGGTGTAAGCCAAACCCCAACATCCAATGGGTTTGCAGAAATATCCTGGGCAAGAGGTGGGTTGGGCCCTTGTGAATACTGGCTCCTGAGGAATGTCTGTGGTAAATACAGGAACAGAGTGAGGAGGTAGCCAGATGGCTTGGGGATTTAGCTCCTAGTCCTTGAAAACCAAGTGTCCCAGTAGATAGGGCTAGTATAGTGGATAGGACACCAGTGTCTCAGTGCTTCCCAGTTCCATTAGCCTGGTGTTGCCTGTGGCACCTTGTTGCTTCTCCTGAGCTGGGAGTGGAAGAGACTGCAGTCAGACCTATGTTGGATCTTCTCTATTTCCTTTCTTTCTTCATTTCTTGTTTGTAATTATTCTTATAAGAGTGATACCTAGCCGGGCGTGGTAGCTCACGCCTGTAGTCCCAGCACTTGGGAGGCAGAGGCAGGCAGATCTCTGGGGGTTCAAGGCCAGCCTGGTCTACATAGTGAATTCCAGGCCAGCTGGGGTACAGGGAGACCCTGTCTCAAAAAGCAAAAAAACAAAGCCGGGCATGGTGGTGCACGCCTTTAATCCCAGCACTCGGGAGGCAGAGGCAGGCAGATGTCTGTGAGTTCAAGGCCAACCTGGTCTACCAGTGAGTTCCAGGACAGCTGGTGCTACAAGGAGACCCTGTCTTGAAAAAAAAAAAATGTATTAAATTTACATTAAGCATGATTGCTTTTTTAAAACTTTGATGCTATTTTTAAAAACCCCCTAGCTTTTCATCCTATTAAAAAAAAAAAAGAAAACAGTACCTCATGATTATTAAGCTTATGTTTTTTAAACTCTTGAGTGCCATTTTCACTGATTTTTTTATTAGTTTCGATTCTTCACATTTATGGTTCAGTACCACCTAATCTTTTTCCCCAAGAGGATCCATACAGCTCTCTCCAAGGTCCCCTTCACTTTCTCTTCCTGCAGATTACCAGCTGCCCAGCGCAGAACTCTCTTCCCTACCAGCCTTTAGCTCACCTGGGGGGCTGACACTAGGCAACGTCACCGCCTGGCAACAGCCCCAGCAGCCACAGCAGCCACAGCAGCCACAGCCTCCACAGTCACAGCCACAGCCACCACAGCCACAGCAGCCACAGCAACCACCTCAGCAACAGCCCCACCTGGTCCCTGTGTCTCTCAGCAGCCTCATGTGAGTCCTTAGGAAACTTTCCATAGGGGTATCAGGGAGCGAGGGGCAGAGGGTGGTCCTTTAGGGTATTTGGTGTTGGGAACATGGCAGTGACGGCCATGGGCCCCCTTCTGGCAGCCAGAGGAGGGGGGCGGAGATGATGATCTGGACAGAATGGAACTAACACTGCTCATTTCCTTTCTCCCCCCTGGACACTCATCTCTCCCTCTTCTCCACTTTCATTCTTTGTTTTTCACTCTTTGTCTTATGACTTCCTCCTACTTTTTCTGTTTCTGACCCATGAACTCTAGCCCAGGCAGCCCCTTGCCCCATGTGGGTGCTGCTCTCACCGTCACCACCCATCCACACATCAGCATCAAGTCAGAACCAGTGTCCCCAAGCCGTGAGCGCAGCCCTGCACCTCCTCCACCAGCTGTGTTCCCAGCTACCCACCCTGAGCCTGGTGACGGTCTCAGCAGCCCAGCGGGGGGATCCTATGAGACCGGGGATCGGGATGATGGACGGGGGGACTTCGGGCCCACACTGGGCCTGCTGCGCCCAGCCCCAGAGCCTGAGGCTGAGGGCTCAGCTGTGAAGAGGATGCGACTGGATACCTGGGTACTGTAACATTGCCTTTCCTGCCTGCTGGTGTCTGCAGTCACAAGGAACTGCCCCACATGCATTCAACCTGTTTTTTCTCCCACGGGAGAGACCTTGTGGCCAGGCAGCCCTTTGGGGCAGCACTCAAACCCTTGACCCCCCCCTGCAGCATTGTGCCCTGCTCAGTGACCTCCAGCTAACCCATTCCTAGAGTCCTAACCCTGTGGGAGATGGGTGGGGTGCATCCTATAGGTCAAGCTGCCCCTCACACCACCTTCTCCGTCTCCTCTCTTCGCAGACATTAAAGTGATGGTTTCCACTTCCTCCTCTCAGCCTCCCTGATGAAGAGTTGACAATCTCACCGCCCACCCCTCCCTGTCCTGGGCTCCTCCCGCTCGACCCCCCCTTCTGCTCCATGTCCTGTTGATGGTTACATTTGTGTATAATTATTATTATTATATTATTATTATTATTATATTTTTTTTTAATTTGGAGTCTCACTTTGGAGAGAGGGATATTCTTGCCCCTTTCTTGCCCCCACCGTTTTCTCCGGTAGGGACTCTCTTTATCGTGGGAAGGCGGGGGGACACTTTGCACGTTGTACACATATGCTGCAGGAAGGGGGTGGGGCGGCCCAGTAGGCCTTGGGGAAGGATAGGTGCCGAGCCCTGCATGTGGCGCCCTCCCATCCCATTCCCAGACAGTTGTAAAGAACCAAAAACTACCCAACAACAAAAACCCGGACAGTAGACTGAAACCCCAAAGCTGGCTTGATGATGGGTTTGTGTCTCAGGAGATAGGAGGAGGCAGAGGCTCTGCTTCTGGTCTGTTCACATGGCTAATACCATCCTGGTCCCTTTGGCTCCCTAAACCCACACCATTCTCACTGACTCTCTGTGCTGCACCCCAAGCCCTGGGTGCTAGGAAGGCTGCCTAGAAGTCTGAGGCTAGAGCAGGGGCTTTAGGTGAGAACCTCTCTGGAAGTACATTGGAGAGACAGCTGTGGGAAGAGGGCTGAGGAGGGCAGAAGGGCTGGGGGTGGTGAATGGGGACTTGCCACCCCCAGCATTTCCTCTAAGATGTACAGTGCAATAGCTCCCCATCCTTCAGCCTACCCCAGCCCTAGAAAGCTGGCCATGTGCTAGAATTGGGAGAGAACCTTCAGTGAGGTGGCTCCAGGGTGGGCCAGAGTTAGCCTTTGGTTCCCCTGGGGTGCCAAGGGCTGAAGGCCTGGCATGGAGAGGTTACTTCTCTGCCTTGCACATCCATACCCAGAGGAGTGCATGCTGGGCACACAGGATGGTCTGTGGGGCTGGAGGTCCCTATAGATGAGGCCCCCAAGGCCCTTCTCCTAAGCCTTCCTCCCAGCTCCTCCTCTTGACCCACCTCTCAGCTCTTGGCACCCTCCTTGTCTCGCTACCTCCTGTCCCTCCACCTCCAGGCCGCATCCCACCTGCCCTCTTGCTACTGTAATTGTAAATAGCGACCTTTCGAAACGTTAGAGTATAACAGTCCAGGAAACTGTTGTGTTTTTTGTTGTTGTTGTTGTTGTATTGATATGAAATGAGATTCTATTTTTGTCAAAGTATATTGTAATAATAATGACTCAAACGGCCCGTACTGTACAGATGAGATTCTTTCGCTGTTCTTGCTCCCTTCCTCTCCCAGAGTTGGCCTGCTTTGTTGCCTTCTCAGTGGGGCAGCAAGCAAATGCCCAGGGCCAGTGAAAGCATGGGGTTCTGGGACCTCAGCTGGATCTGAGATCAAACTAGAGCAGACAGGCTCTCAGCTTGCTCTGTCACCACTCCACCCTCCGCAGAAGCCCAGCTCCTCTGCCCCCAGGTCAGGGGAGACCTGACATACACTTCCTTGGGGCTTTCTCCCAGTTGGAGAGTAGATTTAGACACAGCCCATTGTTGTGGTAGATGCTCTTTGCCCACCTGTGACCCAACCTTTTGTAGTATTTCAACACTTGATGCAGGGAAGGAGCCAGAAGCAGAAGGGTGTGAACGTGCTCATGAGGGCGTGTCTGGGTGCACCCTGTATTTTTGTGTTCCTGTGAGCTGTGTGGATGTACCTTTGTGTGCCTCTGAGTCCAAGGGGTGTATTCGTGGCTCTTCATGTGACTCAAGCTCCAAGGGCCTCTGTGTCTGTGTGGCTGGGTATGTGTTTACAAAGGGACAGGTGGCTGTTGAGCCCCATAGCCCAGGCTTCTAGCTCTAACCCTCACTCCCTTCTTCCCTGGGCTGCTCTCAGCCCTGACACGTTTGTACTTAAGTTAGGGGGACTTACCAGTCAGCCTTCTCTTTTCTCCCTACAGCCTACCTCCACCAGGGCTTCCCTCCAGAAGCTCTGTCTCTATATGGCTGTCCACTAGTCCCCACCCTAAACAGTTCTGACTAGTTTGTGGAATAAACTCAAGTTCCTCTTCCTTCTGGGAGCTTTGACTTCCACAAGGCAGTGACCCTCCCTTACCCAGAGTTTTACCCCAGCTGCTGACCAGGCAGGGGTGCCACATGCCCGGCCTTCCCACCCCTCCCTATGGTTCCTACAGGGAGTTTTGAGCATTTGATGGGATTTACTCAAGGCCTTGAAAGAAGCCTGGGTATATTCCTGCGCACATGTGCTCCCCAGAGCCCTGACAGTAGCTGGCACATTGTAGGCACTCAATAAATGCTGAATGGATGAATGATAGGTGCTCAATTAGTGTGGAATGACTGGCCTTGACTAAGGCCATTCTCACCATCATCAGTCTGCCCACCTTTCTAGGCTGAGCTTGGCCACCATTACACACAGACTGGGGGTAAGGGCCCCCACAGTTGACGGTGCAATATTCACCAGTTTTGCCATCTGCCTCTTGAAGGCAAACCTGGCTTTTGATTACCATGTACGGGTGTGTGTGTGTGTGTGTGTGTGTGTGTGTGTGTGTCTGTGTCCTTTCTTCTCTGTCCCTGGCAATCGGGGATAGTCTGCGAATGAATATGTGACATTTCTGCAATTCAGTATCCCCAGGTTTCTCTTGGGGCTATGTAGGGGCTTCTGGCTGGCCAGGTAAATGGATCCCTGGGAACCCAGACCTCAAATAAGGACTTAAATTTCTTCCTCTCACAAACCAAATTTGCCTCCTATCCACTCCCTCTACAAAACTGGGCATTTGCCAAAGTAGCCACTGGCGTCATCCAATGCCCTTCCCATCCAGGTTTCCCTCAACTTTCAGGGATAGTGGGACAGAGGGCCACCCCCACATGCCTCAGTGGGACACATTTCCCCCAACAGTGCACTCAGTGCAGTAAGAAAGACCCCTGACCCCACCCATCCCTCCCCACCATGGACAGGAAGGAAGAAAGAAATGCACCTTCTCTTGCTGATTATTTATTTGTTTGGAGAGACAGAAATGATGTAAAAGTGTATCTAGAAATATCTATATCTATATATTTTTAACTGACTCTTTGGAATCCCCTGGCAGGGGAATTTGGGCTCTCCTAAGAGGCTGGAAGACATGGAGCCTGGGAGCTCTTGTTCTACCCTCATCTGCCTCATACCCCTTAAGCAGCTGATGGAAGGACTGGGATTTGCATGGGGCAAGGAGGACTGAGATATTACAAGGAGAGTCTGGATTCTCTGCTCTACCCCATTCAAGCCCCAGAGAGGGCGGGGGGAGGCAAGGAGGGAGGGAGGGTAGGGCCAGCCACAGAGGTGACCCACCCCCAAACTTGACAATCACCCACACTCCTGGCTCCTGGGTCCTGGGAGCAGGGTGAGTCCAAGTGTGTGGCTGTTGATTTGTTTTTAATATTTCTTTTCGTGCTGTATGGTGATGCTTTCTAGTATTCTGCACAATAAGAAAAGACAAAGTCCTCGAGATTCTTACGAGTTTGGTTTGAAAACTCTTTCACTATATTTGTTGTAAAGAGGTTTACTATTAAAAGAAAAAAAAAAGAACACGTTTCTGATACTTCAGCTTGAGTTTTGATTTATTTGTTTCGGCGAGGATAGGGAGGAACGCCTGGCATGGTGAGAGGGCTTCACCTGTGGGACAGACTGCAAGGAGGGGGCTGCCAGGTGTATTGTGCTCAGAGAGAGGCAGCCCCAGAAGTGGTCCAGGAAGAAGCCTTGGGAAGGATCCCAGGATGTAAGAGAAACAAATGACAGCAGGGACAGGTCCAGCCTTCTGACTGCTGACAGGCTTTCTAAGCAGATTTCTATGCACACAATTAGACAGATGGAACCCACCTTCACAATCCCCCAGTGTCCCTCTGGCACAGCAGTGTGCCCTTGCCTTCCTAATATCCCAGAGGCCTCTCTGACTCCTTATGGGACAGGCTACTCATGACACAATGGGACTGTGGGGAGATACTGTAACTGGAGGGCAGTATACCAGGCCTGGCATACTCTTGTGCATCTAGCCCATGTCAGGTGCCACAGCAGCAGAATGAGTGGGAAACCCTTGCTCAGTGGCTAAGACAGGCCTACAGATGCTTAAGATGATACATGTTTGCCTGAGCACAGGAGTCAGACAAGGCACAGAGTGTCCTCAAAGCCTCAGGTTTCCTTATTGAAAAATGCCACCATCTGTGTTGGTTCTGTCTTTCTTAAAAGGTCACTGGATTTTACCCCACTTTTCCCTCAACGGGCAGAGAAGGGCGATGTCCTGAGCAAGAGAGGGTTAATAAGATTCTGTCCTCTCAGCTAGAGCTGTAGTTCAGTTGGTAGAGTGTTTGCCTAGCATGCATAAAGCCCAGAGTTTGATCTCCTGCACCACATAAAAGCAGGTGTGTTGATGTACACCAGTAATCCCAGCACACACTCCACAGGTCAGAAGTTCAAGGTCATCTTCAGCTACAGAAGGAGTTTGAGGCCAGACAAGAGACCCTGTCTAAAAGAAAAAGACACCACTGTCCTCCAGAGGCTGCTCAGGTAGCCACTTCCAAAATGACCTTCCACTATCCCTGCTTTGTGCCCATGCCCTTCCCACACTGACTGACCAAAAAGGCAAGTGATAGTATGTGATTTCTGATGGGAAGTCATGGCTTCTACCTTTCTCATCTGCCCTGGGAAAACCCTAATGCCCTGCTGTAGAACACCAGCCCCGTTAAGAGGCTACATGGCAAGGACCAGTGGGCTCCTGCCAGCTGCCATTTGAATGAGGTCATCTCTGCCCTTCTAGTTCCCAGGCGTCCCCACATGTTGCTACAGGGAAGAAGCCCTGGCTTCCCCACATGTTGCTACAGGGAAGAAACCACAGGTAAGATGTACTGTCTACCTCATCCATGCCCAGGGTGGAAGGAACTTCAAAACCTAAATCCTGAGCAGAACCTTTCTGTCGCACATCTCCCATATACCTCCTGACTATCTGACCTGCATTTCCTTCCCAGCCGGGTCTGGGGTAAGCCTTATCTGTTGCTCACGAATACTTCCTGTTCCCTTTTCCCTTCTGGTGTTTTCCCAGTCCCTATGTTGTTAATTGGGGTCTTTGCGCTGGTTCTGGCCAATAGACTGTTGGGCTTTAATGTATATCCGTTCTGAAACACATCTGGTTCCTGCCTCTTCAAGTGCTCTTTCCCTCTTAGGAGAGTTTTGAAACAACATGTAACTGTGGAGTGCCACAGGACATAGCATCCTGGATTGCTAAGCTGCCTCGAGATGTTATTAGCACCAAGCAGGAGTTTGTATGAATGGAAATGCAATCTGTGCTATAACCTACCCGATCCTGGCTAATGCAGAACATTTCCTACTCATAGTCTTGAAGTTCTGTCTATATAACCCTTGATTACATATATATAGATATATGTAAAGATCTCTGGACTTGGCATAGTCCAGAAGTCCAGAATGTTCTAGTTCTGCTACTTGCTAGCTGTTCCTATAGAATAGAGCTAATAGCTGTCTGTTTCCTCTAACCATCTGCCCTTCCCCAACACATCCTCCTATCTTAATCTAACACCTCATGGTCCTCCATAGCTTATCAAATAATATATAGAGTCCTTGGCCTAGCTACCAAGGCCTTCAGAGAGCCAACAAAAGCCCTCTTCCAGGCTTAGTTCACACTGCCCTCCCTTGGACTCTGAGATATACTACAGCAGGGAGGAATGAGACAGTTCCTACCTCTTGGAGGGACAGGAGACAAGAGAACCAACAGAAATTGAGCTTTAGAGATGAGAGACCAGGCACACCCAAATCAAACCTGTTATCAGGGAGGTTTCTTAGAGGAAGCACTTGCACTGAATTTTGAAATCATATAGCAATTCCCTGGGCATACAGGGCTTCAGTGAAATCAAATATAATGAAGACCCAAAGAGTAGCATATAGAGCTGAACGGATCAGCAGGGGCCTCCCTCACAAAGGGCCTTCATTGCCAAGACAGGTTCTAGTCTCCAGCAGATGTTAGGTCATCAAAAGATTTTTTTTTTTTTTTTGGTCTTTCTGAGGCAAAGTCTCCCTGTAGCCCTAGCTAGCTGTCTTGAAACTCACTACATAGACCAGGCTGGCCTTGAACTCACAGAGATCCACCTGCCTTTGCCTCACAAATGCTGGGATTAAAGGCATGCGCCACCACGCCCAGCCATATAATTTTAACATTTATTAGAGATTAAAAGAAATCTGCATACTAACAAGATAGATTTGCTTATGAAGAAATCTTAGCCAGGTATGGTGGTACATGCCTTTGATCTCAGCACTCAGGAAGCACAGGCAGGCATATCTTTGAAAGTTCAAGGCCAGCCTGGTCTACATTGTAAGTTCTAGGCTAGCTAGAGTTAACATAGTGATAACCTGTTTCATAAAAACCAAAATAATAATAAAAGAAAAAAGAAATCTTGGCCAGGACTAGAGAGATGACTTAGCAGTTAAGAGTACATACTGTTCTTCCAGAGGACCTGAGTTCAGTTCCCAGCACCCACATCTGGCAGCTTCTAGCTGCCTGTAACTTCAGCTCCTGGTGATCTAGTCTGGCCTCCATAGGCACCCATGCTCATATGTACAAACACCACACACACACACACACACGTACACATAATGAAATTGTTTTCTGTTTTTTTGAAGATAGGGTCTCCCTGTAGCCCCAGCTGGCCTAGAACTCACTATGTAGATCAGGCTGGCCTTGAATTCACAGAGATCCACCTGCCTCTGCCTCCTGCGTGTTGGAATTAAAGGCATGTGCCACCATGCCTGGCAAGCATTGCAATTTTTTAAAAACTGGGACTTTCAAGGCTGGAGAGATGGCTCAGCAGTTAAGAGCATTTGCTGCACTTCCGAAGACCCAGATTTGGTTCCCAACACCCATCCACAAATCCAGTTCCAGGGGCTCCAAAAGCCCTCTTCTGGCCTCAGTAGGCAGTCCACACATATGATGCACTTACATACAGGCCAACACCCATGCACATAAAATGAAAATAAATAAAATTAAGACTGTGGGGCTGGAGAGATGGCTCAGTGGTTAAGAGCACTGGCTACTCTTGTAAGAGGACTTGGATTCAATTCCCAGCACCTACATGGTGGCTAACAACTGTTCATAACTCCAGTTCCAGGGGAATCCAACACCCTCTTCTGACTGCCAACAGGCATTGCACAATATGGGTATACTTACATACATGCAGGCAATATACTCATACACATAAAATAAAAA